AAAGTGTAACAGAAATTATCCGCCAACCTAATAAAATGCTTGTTAAATAAATATCGCATTGTTTAATGCCATATTCAGAAGCAAAAGCTATCTTGGTACCACTCCTGGGCCAGTTTCATAAACTTGGTGAAGCCAGAGACTACGAAAAGGTATCGGTCATCAAGATAACTTCTCCACGTTAGCTTTTTGCACCTAAAAATTCAATTCCTGCATGCCAAGAAAATCCATGTTTTTCAACTTGCTTGTTGATTGCTTTCACTGTCAGCTGGCTGCCTTTTACGATCCAGACGCCGTTATTGTCCATGCTGGAAAGGATGTAGTTTACGGAAGAGAAGGTGAGAAGTATGCCAGGTCGAAGTTACTACTATCATAATAAATCCATGCTGAACAAAACGTGTTTTCTTCATCTGATTTTTTCTTCCTGACATGACTAGATGTTTGCTATAGTAAATGAAGTTACGACCTCTTTTTTGATTTTTCAACCTATGCTGTCATTTTTTCAGCTTTGAAGAAGGATTTCGAAGAATTTCTAACACGCGCGGGTAAGCTCACGCCAAAGGTAATCGGCAAGCAAGTGTTAGCTCAAGTATTTTTAAGGTTCTAGTTATTTAGAGCTCCAACCACTACTACAGAATGTGTGAAGAATTCATTAATTTGACAGCCGACTATGAGACAGAAACAGAAAAAATGGGAGTGTTGAAAGGAAGGTTTACCCAAATCTGGCGTAAATGTAACGGTGAATATCTGATAATACATCTGGAAGATGCCCCAAAGATGCTGTGATTCTGTTCACATCTTTTCTTGATAGATCCTCTTGACGAACTCTTTTCTTTTATGCCCGAAATCAACGCTCGATATATGTGCGTTGGTAATTTCTTTCATTTGAAATATACACTGTCATCAATAAAAGTTTCTTAATCCAGCTGTCTATACTACTGTGTTGCAAGCAGGACAATCTAAGTTCTAAAGTACCAAAATGTTCTACACCTCGTTATGGAAATATTTCGAGATATCGACTACCTTAATCTTATGAGTACAAGGCGCAGGTTTTTTCCTGCAATCGGCCACTCACACGCTATGGAATTCGCGACCAAAGGAACTTATATTAGGTTGTTCGGAAAATAATGTTGCATTTTGTTTTATCATGAAATATCGAGACCGGATGAGCACGAAAGCAAGTACATGGGATCAACCGATAGAGCAAAGCAAGCTCTACAAAATGAATCC